GAGACCTGGGCTACGGGAGACCAGCCCAGGTCTCAAAAAGGTTGTCTGCCCCTGCATTAGACTTTCAAAAGCAATTTCTCCTCTCATCACAGAATTCCCAGACTTAGGGTGCATTTGCACTTTAGAAATAATGCAGTTTGAAACTCCTTAGGTGCTATGAACTCCTGGGGTTTGCAGTTTTACAAGATCTTTAGCCTTCTCTGCCAAATAATGCTGATTCCTCACAAAACTATAAATCTCAGGATTCAGTAGAATGGAGCAAGGGGTGTCAAACTGCATTATATCTACAGTGCAGACATACTATTAAATTTCATTCTTGACATCTACCCAGATCTATACTAGCTCTGGTTCTGATTTACTTTGCATTGCTTTATTAGGGCTTTCCTCATAAGCCAAGATTGCCAACTTTTATACTGCCTTTGCACCTATGCCTTGCAAAAGAGATAGAGATAGAGAGAGATTGCCTTCAGAATTGAACTAGATAATTTTCTAGACTCTAGAGATACATGTTAGGAGACACTTGAGCTGCTAAACTGCTAGAAGTTAAAAATTAGATTGAGGACACTGGAGCATAGACCATTAAAAAGCTGGCAACCTTAATTAGGCATTTTGAGATTTTTTTTAAGTAGCATTTGTTATTTTTTTTAAAAAAATACTATACAAATGTATTTTCTCAACAGCCTTAATAGTTGACTATATTTCAAAAGAAATAAATTAAGAAACAGACAAACTTATAGGAAGTTCTATGTTGTCAGCCAAGCAAATTAGAACCGATTACTCCTGTCCAAAAATTGGGAGGGAAGACACCTGAGCTGTATCTGCACTTCAGCAATAATGCAGTTTGACACTGCTTTAACTGCCATGGTTCAATGCTATGGCATCCTGGGATTTCTAGTTTGTCATGGCTCCAGAACGTCCTGACAGAGGAGGTTAAATAGCTCACCAAACTACAAATCCCAGCATTCTATAGCATTGAGCCATGGCAGTTAAAGTGGTGTCAAACTGCATTAATTTTGAAGTGCAGATACACTAGGAATCCATGCATCCCTAGGAACTTCCCACGATGCTATCAGCGTGGTGTGATGGTTTGAGTGTTGAACTAGACTTCTGGGAAACCAGGGTTTGAATCCTGGCTTGGCTGGATGACTTTAGGCAAGTCACTCTGTCTCTCAGCCTCAGAGGACTGCAAAGGCAAACCCTCTCTGAAGAAACTTGTCAAGAAAACCCTGTGATAAATTTGCCTTAGGGTCAGAAAGGACTTGAAGACACACAACAACAACAACAACAACAACAACAACAACAACAACAACAACATGATGCTATCAAAACAGCGGCTGATCCATCAGTCAGATTTGACAGTTTGGGTAGCAAGACAAGAAAACCTTTTGAAATAGCCAGTGTGGCATAGTGGTTTGAGTGTTGGACTATGACTCTGGAGATTAGAGCTCGATTCCTTGCTGGAGCATAAAAACCCACTGGCTGACTTTGAGCAAGTCACACGCTCTCAGCTTCAGAGGATGGCAAGGGCAAACCCTTTCTGCAGAAACCTGCCCAGAAAACCCCAGGACAGCTTCAACTGAGGGCCACCCAAAGTCAAAAATGAGGCACACAACAACAACAACAACATCAGGACAAATAATCTCCCCTCCACACAAAGCCAGATTTGCACTGACTGGCACAGAGCCTTACCAGATTTCCCAGTGCCTTCGCTGCCCAAAACGGCAACTTTCATCTCATTCATCCTGGCAGATGCTTTGGGCACTTAAAGGGATGCCAAACTGATCAACTTCCAGACAGGACAAATGGGGATAAGAGAAGAAATGTCCACCACACTCCTCCACCCTTTCTTCTTCTTCTTCTTTGCTCAGATCCCCCAGAGAGTGAGAGCCTTCAAACTTGTCACTTCTATATACCCATCCCTGCTGTGGACGTCAAACGAGACAGAACTGGGAGTGTGCCAGGGCAAGGCAGTTCCAAATCCTGCCCACTTTTTAAGGTCTCTACCCTGCCTTTTTCCTGCCCAGCTGCCAAAAGGAATGAGAAAGTCTCTCTTTCTCATCTTTCCTTCCAGCAGGGCCTCCAAAATTGTTTTTAAGGCAGCTCAGTATAACTAAGCAAGTTGTTGTTTTTTCATTTTGCCTTCCTGGGGTTACATTTTGTTTTACAAAGCTAAGGGTTGGCATCTACACAGTGGAAAGTTTTACAAAGTTCAGGTTGGCATCTACATGGTAGAAATAACACAGTTTGATCCCACTTTAACTGCCATGGTTCCATCCCATTGGACTTTATCACACGAGGGAAATCCTGTCCAGAAACTGGATTTAAAGGGTGGGGGAAACCTGCAAAAGTGGGTAGATGTTCACACACATCGATGTTAAAGTGTGCTTAACCCAAGCAGAAAGTAGTCAAAAGCTGCTTCTTTTTACTTTTGGGATTTTCAGACTCAAAATGTGGGTACATTTTGTTTTACAAAGCTAAGGGTGCAGCTGCCCACCACAGAAACCATACTATTTGATGTCACTTCAATGGACATGGCTCCATCCCAGCGACTCAAAATGGGTCACAAAACTTGAAACAAGTATAGATCTAGGTTTTAAAAAACACAATAATAATAGTCAAAAGGTATGTTTAAAATGCAACTGGAAAGACTTTAAAATGGAAAGACTTTTCAACAGGAAGATGAATCTCACTTGTCATCATACAACTCACACAGGGCAAAAACCCTTTAAATGTTTAGAGAGTGAAGGGGTTGCAGACTGCCAGAAATAGTGCAAATTGAGTCCACTTTTAGGGTTAGGGTTAGGGTTAGGGAATCACGGGAACTGTATTTTATTGTGGCACCAGAGCTCTCTGACAGAGAAGGCTCAATGTCTCAGAAAAAAACCAATTCCCATGATTCCCTAGCACTAACCCTAACCCTAAAAGTAGACTCAATTTGCACTATTTCTGGCAGTCTGCAACCCCCCCTTAGTCAGAAGAGAAATCTCACTCAGCATCAGGCAATTCAAATGGGGGAGGGGGTTTGTTGTATTGTATATGATTTTATGAGTATTGTATATGTTTTTATGGTTGTAAGCCGCCCTGATTGGATTTCCATAGGGCGGGATATAAATAAATTTTATTTATTTATTTTTAACTGAACTATATATAGGATTAGAACCATTTTAATCAAATACATCTTTAAAGCAGCAAAATGTTTTGCAACACTAGCCTTCACAGTTTGGGCACTCTCCTATAAAGTTTTTTTCAGGGTTTCCATTTCAATGCTCCCTTCGTCCTCCTCTTCCCAGTGGTTTTTAAAGGAGCTAGGACAAGTCCATGGCTGGGCAAATTTGCCAGTGGTTAATGTTTAGGTTGGCTAACTGTTGCATTCAGAGTTTTGAAAAGTTAATTTTTGGACTACAACCCCCAGATTCCCCTATCAGCTTGGCCTCTGGGCAGTGGTGTCACTAAGGGGTGCAGGGGGTTCAGACCACACCAGGTGACAGCCCAAGGGGGGTGACACCACTGCTGCTCAAACACTTGTATTTGGACAGAAACATTGTGGCATTGGCCTGTATCTCTTTAAAATGCTTTAAGAGATGGTGGGAGTGAGATGAAGCTCATTGGGAGAAGAAAGGAGAGCCCCCAGAATTTTTTTAAATTAAAATCCCAAATTTCAAAATTTTAATTTTTTTTAAAAAAATAAAAAATATATTATTTTAAAATTTTCTTTAAAAACATTACATTTTAACCATATCTTCACTATGTATATGTAAATACATTTAGGTTATGCATATGATATTGTAATTTGAAGGTATAAGTTTAATGTTGTTAGTTGTTTATGTCACAATCATTAGCATTACATTCTGTGGTATATGGGAATTA